CCTGCAAACTTTGCCTGTGCAAAGTTTAAGCCTGGAAGCCCCGGAAAAAAAAGGGGGATCGGTGGGGACTCACCTTCGGAGAGGTTGCACTTGAAGGTGATTTCAAATTCCCAGCCGAGGCCTTTGCAAAGTTCTTCTTTTCTTTCCTACCCCGAGAGCGCTCCGCACTGTTTTGCAGCTTTGGGGGCCACACGGCGCAGGGCAATACGCCACGCCCAGCGATTTTTTTTCAGGGGCGGGCCGGATTGGACAGACCAATGGGCCGGATGTTGCCCGCGGGCCATAGTTTGCCCACCCCTGTATAATAGGAAATGCCCACAGCCCTTTCATTACATCATCATCCAGCAAGGCTCAACCAAGCCTGGGACTCAGGACAACCTACAGAGTTGCCTCTGCATGACCCCCTGGGAGCCTTACAACCAATCAGAATACAAGCTCAAATACAAATCCCAACAGAAGGCATAAAACCAAGGGACTCTCAGCATGTCTCAGCCCAAGAGCTCCAAGGCATGTGATCCTGTCCACCATTAAACCATCTTTACAAGCAGTCACCATGTTTCCAGAGTCTTTCTTCCCCAGAACTGAAAAGGATAATTCTTCCAACATCATCTAAGAAGTTAGATCAATAAGAATGAATTTCATTGGTACATTCACAGAGCAATATTGAATTCTTTTTCTGAAATTTATTCCTCAGTCAGTTCACCGAATATATGAACTAGGTTCAGTATTTAGGTCAGTACAAGGCAAGTAGCCTGTGTGCCATGGTTAAAACAATGATAAAGCAACATATGGATTTAAAACCAGAAATATTTTGTTGGGTAAAATACATATTTAATTTTACACATGTTAACAGCTGCTAGAATTGTATTTGCACAACAGTGGAAAAACAAGATATGAAAATGAATAAAAAAAGGTTAGAATGTGCATAAATGAATAAATTAACAATTACAAATTTACAATCAAGGAGAAGGCTTAGAATACTTTTTAATATGGGATTTCTTTTATCAATGGCTAACTAACAGAAACGGAAGTTAGAAATGTAAAAGTATAAAAGAAAACACCAATTATATAAGGAAAGTTCTGTAAAAAGGATAAGCAAATATTATTAGTATTTGATCATTGTTAATGCATAGATAACTTTGAGAGCATACACCCCCCTCAAAAAAAATACTGCAGATAAAAAACAGTTTTTTACTTAATCTCCAGACTGCAATAAAAACCCTGGATTGTTCCCCCAAGGACCCAAAACCTCACACCAGAAATCTCAGCCCTTCTGCCTTTAAGAAACCCCCAGGCAAACAAGCAACACAACAAAAAGCAACACTTAAGTACAACCATTATTAGGATAACTCACCTGGAAGTCCCCTTTTCCTGATTCCTGGCAGAATTAACCACCATGATAGGAAAGACAAAAGACCCAGGCAAGAACAAAAGCAGGGCAATCATGAACACATGAAATCCATCAAGCAGGCTCAGCTCCAGAAATCTCAATATGTTAAAACCAGCTTTAATAATGGTGAAGTGTTATACTCCAAAACAAGTTACTAATTTTCTCAGAAAGTAAAGTTGCTTGTCGCATAAAAGCAGCTGGACTTCACGTAAAATGTCTCCTGGCCTGGATGCTACAAGCATCAACATCAAAAAATGCTAGGATATGTTGTTATCATAACTATACAACTATAATATGACTGGATTGGCAGCAGACCCACAAAACTACACAACTGAAAATACACTCCCTACATAATTGAAAACTACACATACACACTCACAAAGCAGATACAGCTGGAAAAATCTAAAAATATAGCTTTAATTTATAAGCACATAACATTTCACACAATTTTCTCACAAAGCAGTTGCTTTCTAAAAATAGAAAAGCAGCTAAAATTTCCTAAGTTTTATATGACTATTTCCTAAAAAAAAAAAAAAATGAACACGCTTACTGTTTTTTGCAATCAGGGGACTTCAAGCTTGACAGTTTTAAGACTTGTGGACCAATTCCCAGAATTCCTCCTCCAGTCATGTTAGCTCAGGAATTCTTGGAGTTGAAGTCCACAAGTCTTAAACTTGCCAAGTTTGAAGATCCCTGCCCTGATTTAAATCATGAGAAGAAGAAAAAGCCACTTACTTACCCAATTGAAGAAAGC